CTTTCACCAACAGTACCTCTCAAGTATGCATTTTCTGGTGAGAAACATAGCTTCTCCATGATTTTAGGAGCGTGTGGATATTAATAATCTGTTAAACTGGGACTCTGAAACAACCCACACAGGCCAATACATGAATCTCTTTAGAACAAATCAAGAAAAAGACAACAAAAATATAGGGATTGGAAATAATTTTGACTCTTTTTTCTTAGAATGAAAGAGGCTTTTACATCTTCCATGTCCAACTGACAAATTAACAAATGGCCTGCGCAGTCCAACAGACTCCTGCCTAAGAACATTGTAAGCTACAAGGATGGGAAAAAAATCCCTCCAAGTTTTGCTGTGAAGTTCCAAAGCAGGTGAATCACCTTCTCTCCACATAGTTCCCATCTCCACAGGCTCACAATCGTTGCTTAGAGAAACAAAATGTAAGCTCAACAGGACAACACAGCACCAAAGCCCACGGAAGAAATTCAGAGTTTTTCTCCCCAGTGCTTCTTCCAGCAACATAGTTATCAGGGCCAGTCAGAAGTTAGAAAAATGGCAAATTTCTCTCAGAGCAACTCTGCCCCATTTTAAGTGTGTTTTGTTTTCTAGTCCTTGTGATATCCTTGAGCTGACAGGAGAATCTGACTGTTTCAAGAGTGCTGGAGATCTTGCAAATGAACGTTCTGACCTTTTATGCTTTACTCTGACCAATGCATTGCATTAATAGGTTTAGCTATTTAATGCAAATCTACAATAATACTGAGAAAAATATATACAATTTAAACGGAAGAGATTAATTAGAGATCTTCTGTAAGATAATTGATGTAAAGCAGTAATCCCTCATGTCACTTGTTTTTTCTCCCTTCTTTAACACTCAGCATCTGACGCACATATGGAGCAAGAGAGTTCATATTTGGTAATACACTATGTTCTACTTTCATGCAGTAAATGACAGTTTTACTACATCCCACTCCAAGCCATTTACTCTTCTCTTATTGAGAAATTGCACAGTCAGTGTGATAGTTAGAGTTAATAAACAGAAAAAGATGTATCTTGACAAACACTATCTGCACCTGTGACAGCTATACCCTGAAAACAGTTTCCTGCCTGAAAATAAGACTTGGATAATCTAGACCTGAAATCCAATAAAGAACTGAGACACCCTCTTGTTTAAAATCACAGTTTCACAGCCAGTGTTAGATTTCCCACTCACAGGTGCTACTGGATGACTTACTGCTAAACACTGCACAGTCTGAACACCCACGGAGAAATGCAGATGATCACCTGGGCTTATAAGCCATGTCAAAAATAAGTGGTCCAGTGCTCAACACTACTCACCTGCCTGAGATCCAAGGTGATGGTGACCCAGTGGTACTGCCTCCCATTCTGTATGCTGGGACTTTGCCACCAGTTATTAGTACCATCAATTGCACTAGAAATCGGGTGTTGCTCTGTTTTAAAGCAAAAACATGAAAATCTCTTAAAAACACAACACAGTGTATTTCCTCTAGCCCCATACATCTAATCCTTGCTGAGCACCATTATTTTCTTTCATAAGAAGTAAAAGGTGAAATAGGTCTTCAGGTAATAGGCTGACATTAGACACTGAGGCGCTTCGGGGCCACCTTCTGCTGGCCCTTTGCTCAAAGGCAATGTCACACAAGCAGAGGGACTAACAGCACTAATTGTGTGACTCCAAATATCCCGTATTCACAGGAGGGGTCAAAAAGAACCACACAAACCAATGGAAAAGGATCTTACCTTTGGGATTGGCGCTGTTGTGGTCGCAGACGCGGCACTGGGCGTTGCGCAGAGGCCGTCCTGGGACGTGCTCCACCAGCTTGCAGAACATCTCCGGCCCTTGCTCCCCGCAGGTGGCATTGGTGGAGATGTGGGCATTGCTGGCCAAGTTGAGGATAGCGGGGAAGAGACCTTCAAATAAGGAAATCGATACTATTAGTTTTATAAAATAATCATGATTTTGAGCAAAAAATAGCCATGATGCTGCGACAGATCCCTGAATATACAGTGTTTCTATGAGATACAAGGAAATATAATGAAAAAAAACATTATTTTATGGGAAAAGAGTATCTCTCACGTACGCCAGGATAGCACAGCAGTGGTCAGGTATCTCCAGCCCTGCCAGGGAATGCACGCCTGGCTCCCACAACCCAGCTCCAGTCCCAGTCCAGCCCAGCCTCAGGATCCTAACCCAAATGCTCAGGGCAAGGGAACAGGCCCTGTCCCACCTGCAGCCCCCAGCACCAGCCCTGGCAGCCACACTGACAGCAGTAACTCCACGCCACACTTGGGTGCTTCAATGCCGAGGAACACACAGGTTACTAATTTTTTTTTATACCATATACATTTTTCACACCATGAGTTTATCAAATTCAGGAGGGAAATTGTCTCTCTCAGAAGAGATATAGGGTACGCAGCAAGCACTTTATTGGTGTGGAAAATGGCATTTAACTGGCAGTCTCGGAAGCAAAAACACCAGCGACTCAAACCACACACTCTGAACTTTAAAAGTTTGACAAAGATTACATTTTAGACCTTTGCTCTTGGCTTTTTCCAAGCCACTGCAAAGTCTAAGGGGGATTTTGTTTGCTTTATTAATCACTGTACAGCACTTCCAAGCAGCACTGTTCCTGTGCACTATAATAATGAAAAAACTCATGAAAGCTTTGAGGCTTACTGCTACCAGATCTGGAATTCTTTATATTTCTAAATATTTCTTAATATTTTTAAAATGAATGAAGTTTTACTTTAGCTTAAGGGTCCTACTGATAAGATTTAAAGACTACTCTATGTGACAAGATGTTAAGCATAGCTTCTCAGCAATTGCAGGTTATCTTTTTCCAGCTTTGTTTCCAGAACTTAAACCCTCTTATTTCTTGCACAATTACATTTGCATTCATGTCTATAGGAATTAAAAAGTACTCCTTTTCTATTCAGGAGTAACTTTGAAAAAGATATACAATTTTTGAAAAGAAACAATCCCATGTTTAGAGATTAAACACAATGGGCTGAAATCAAAGCTAGAGACCTGGTATAGCATACTAAGAAAGAGCAATGCAAGAATCACTACTGTTGCAATAGACATATATAGATTTTTTTTTTTACTTACAAGGAATTTTGATCACAAAAAAAATCTACTCATGTCTGTTAAAACTTTTATTTCACTAGTAAAACAACATGGACTCTTTTACTTCATTAATCTGCAGCACGTATCATAAGAGATTGCAATATGTAGTGTAGTGTTCAGAGCTGTACATCTCAGCAGGCGAAGTTCAACACTCCTTTAACTTAAACAGAAAGTCTTTGTCTATACAATAATCGCATTATCCTGGAAAACCTGGGGGAAAGTTTTAGTGCTCTTTAAACTTTTTCTTCAGCTTTGAAAATGTGGCTAAATCCTAATCTTTTCACCACAGTATGAATAGTATATAGGTTTTTTTTTTTTTTTAATGTGCGATACTCAAAACTTTAAGAGAGAAGCAGAGTTTTCTGCCATTTCCTTGAATTCTTAATTGATTTAAATTAAATCTCAACTAGACTATATTCCTTGTTTGTATTATTTCCCCAGCCTGAGGCAGATGAGAACACTGAAGATATACTATTGACTATTTCAGCGAGCATATGCTTCCAGTAGCAGGTATTCTACAGAGCCTTCTTTCATTTCTTGACGTATTAATGCAGTCTCACTCCAGATGTAGAGCTGAATACATGCAGGCAAAGCAGAAATGCAGCCCTCTATTTCCTCACTAGACAAGAAAACTCCTTGATGGAAGAGGGCACTCTCTTTTACATTACTCACTAATGATTTAAATTCATCTTCATTCAGTATTCATCACCATTCCTGTAGATGTCTATCAGCCCGTCTTCAAGAGTTACCCATAGTTCTCAGGTCATTCATTGCATTCACTCACCCTACACAAGAGCCCAACCACTGGTTTCCATGGTCATTTGTTACAGCCACATAATTTGCCTTCAACAATCTTCAGTCAAAAGATTTGTGCCATAGGAAAAATGAAGTTCTAAAGAAATGGTGCTAATGGCAATCACTTTGCAGGGCAAGTTTCAATTCAAAATCTCAGGCACAAATCAGGTTCAAAGCTGAATGTCCTTCGGGCCATTCTCTCTGACCTCAGCCCTTTTGTCTGCTTGCCATCAAGCAATTTACTGACTTTGTAACAAATTCACTGCATGATATTGAAATGAATAATTATATGGTGACATTAAGGTCTCATGACAAGTTTTCCAGATCCCAGAGACATAGGAGGAAAGGGCATTTCACTCCAACTGGAGTTTTATCCCAGGGTCCAAAAAAACCCCAAGAGATTCTCTGTTTCATCCTGCAAGGCACTACATTTCCCCTAATCACAAAGAAAAAGAAAAAAGGATGTTTAGAAGAAAAGCGTTGCATCTTTACAGGACTTCGTTCCTCTTCAGTTATTTTACATGTTCTTAAAAGTCAACTACTCTGAATGAGGCATTCAAAAACTCTTTACACACTGCTTTTTTTCTTAAAAAAAAAAAGAAAAATTAAAAAATGGTACAATATATTTCCATTAACCTTTTCAGGTAAGGAAGAGATGGTAAGGAGAGACAAACACATAATTAGCCACCTAAATGAGCCATCTATGAATAACAAGGTGACACTGTCACCCTACCCTGGCACAAAATTCAAGTGACCGTATCAGACACAAAAGTCTGGCAGAAGATATCATGTATCTTTAAACTGAATATCTAGAAAATTTTATTTAGATTCTGAATGACACAGGAATTTTTACAGTTTATCATCTCAAGATGACCACAAATGATCAATTCAGATTTATCATATTTATTCTCAATAAAAGGAAGTGCTAAATACAAAATCCTCACTGTTTCACAGCTGAGCTGTCAGGCTCGATTTTCACATTATAGGATCATAGCAAAAGGCTTGAAAGAGCCCTTGACAGATCTGCATATGAATGGCAACAATATGTAGAGAATTCAGTGGGAGAGTTATCAGCCTACCAGTTTAGTTTGGGTGACTATATTTCATTTGCTTAAATAACTTGCAACCAATTTTGTAAGCACTTAATATTTCATTTTTCTACCACTGACACCATCTTTGGGAACCACTCTCTAACATATTATGAAAGATTATTGTGGTCCTTAGAAAATGTAAAAGAATTGTTAAGTTAAACACGTTTGCTTACTTCTTCTGGCCAGCCTTTTTGTGATAAGATAATCTTCAGTTTAATTTCCTCCAGTTACTCAGCAGCTGCCTGCAAGGCCAAAATCGAAGAAATTCACACAACACCTAATACCAGAATATGACAAGAAAACAGGTTTTTAGGTAGAGGAGGATGTGAACCTCTTTAGTTAAGGTGTGTCAGAGTGCCATTCTACTCCGATCCTTCAGAATAAGTGGGGGTAGTTGGAGCATGAGGCTTCTTGGAGCCGATTCATAGGGCGGATTATTTATACAAACTAATGAATTGACATACACTGTTGCCTAAAACACTGTTTTCATTCAGGAGGGTTAACCCCATGTCATGAAGCAAAGGACAGTCTTACGGCCTAAGCTTCCTTGGTTACTATTCAACTTAAGATCACATTCTAAAGAGATCTTCACAATGTCCACATTACAGAGATGAGTTGCATCATCTTCCCTGGAGGCTCATGTTAATCCTTTGTAGTTTTATAAGTTTTCTTCAGTTAATTACCAACCCAAAATAAGGCTACCAAACAACCCTGAAATTTTCTTTAAGAATTTCAAGGATTTGCAGCATTTCTTCAGGATTCAAGGTTTCTGGCAACACCAATGCACATCTGTTGATACATTCTGGATACACTTTGCTTCACTATGCATGAGCAGATCAGTTCTAGTGTATTTGCACAGTAGATCTGACACAGCTGGAATTTCTGAGTGTATTGTCTACCTCAGGTAGCCTGAACATGCACAGGAACATTAGTGCACTCTCTAGACAAAAGACTTAATCTATACTTACATATCACAGCACGTACATACAAATCATAAATGGAAATATAGCAACCACGTGCGGGTGTGATCCTTCTCTGACATTTAGCAAATGACTCATATAATGAGAATATAAGCCTAAGGACAGAGATAAAATAGAGCTAAAAGACATGACACAGCACACTGACAAGAACTTTAGGGCTGCAATAGCAGGTCTGCCAAGCTAACTCATAATATAGTAAACACTTTTATTCTCCAGACCCATCAAGGAACTCCGAAGTCATCTGAATAACTCAGAGCTATCCACAGATGGCTTTGTTCCAGTAAAAAGAGATCTTTATGTTAAATGTTCAACCTGGTGAAGGACATATTAATATAAAGAACATTCATATGATGAGAAGGCCTCTTCTTTGAGAAGGCTGAGAAGCTCTTTCCTCTTACTGAAATACCTTGACACACTTCAGGACGCTGGATGTATCTTGTACAGCGAGATCTCTGAATGAAACTCCAACTCCATTCTTGATTAATGACTTCAAAAAAAAAAAAGAAAGAAAAAAGAAAAATCTAAAACAGATCACTCAGTAAAATAGTAGTTATTCGTCACTGCACTGTTCCCAGTGCAGGGAGAGTAGTTTCATGCATTCTGGCAAAAATCCATGGGTTGTATGTCTGACAGTTTTCGTTCTGGATTCATCTCTATACAGATGGCACATGAAGAAATTAAGATCTGTTCTTTTGAGAAATCTCTTCCTAGCATCGATACAGTTGATGACATTAAATCAATTTCTTCTGCAAAAACTGTTGTACAAACAAAAGTGTGCATACAGCACCAAATACATTCAAGAAGCATAAACTTAAGAATAAGATAAGCTAATAAATTTATAAGGATAAACTTAAGAATAAGCTAAGCTAAACTTAAGAATAAGCTAATAAACTAATACACTTCCTGACATTCTAACTT